AACAATGCTGCCATGAACATAGGTGTGCATATGTCTATTCGAGTGCCGACTCTTATTTCTCTAGGATATATTCCTAGGAGTGGGATTGCTGGATCAAATGGTATGTCTATTTCTAGCTTTCTGAGGAAGCACCATATCATTTTCCAAAATGGTTGTATCAGCTCTATGCTATTTTATTATATATAATCTGTCTGTGTTATAAACCCAACAATGAAATATTATAGTTATTGTTTTATATAATGTTATGTCTTTTAAAGACACTAAGAGAAAAAATATATAGTTTTTTTAATCAGTTACTTATTTAAGCACTTCCAGTACTTTTCATTTCCTCCTATGGATTTGAGTTATCATCTAGTGTTATTTCCCTGAATCAGGTGGCTTCATTCTATTCCCATTTCTCTTTGCTGTCATATGCATTACGTCTTTAAATGTTACAAGTCCAACAATGCAATTTTATAATTTTTTTGCATTTAAAAAATTAGTAATAGAAGAAAGGATAAAACTATATAATAATACTATATTCTATAATTACCTTTACTGGTGCTCTTTGTTTTTTTTGGATTTTAATTACCATCTGGTGTTGTTTCCTTTCATCTTGGAGAACTTCTTTGATCATTTCTTGTAAGTTCTTTAGCAACAAATTATTTCATTTGTTATCTTGGAATGTCTTAATTTCTTCATTTCTGAAGGATAGCTTTGATGGATATAGAATTCTTGGTTGACATTCTTTTACTTTCAGTACTTTGAATATATCCTCCCACTGCCTTCTGGACTCCATTATTTCTGATGAAATGTCAGCTGTCAGTCTTACTGTGTGCCCCTCATATGTGAGTAATTTTTCTCTTGCTGCTTTCAAGATTTCCTTTTTGTCTTTTAAGAGTTCTGCTGTTGGACTTGTGTGTGGCTTGGGGAATGTCTTCAGTGTTTGGGGATATTCTGTCAGGGACTGGTAGCTCACAATTACCTTTCTGAAGAGGGTTTCTTTTGAGCAGGTGCAGCCTTGTGCATCAACACAGTCTTCCAGACCACCATAGATATGTGTGATCTTACCAAGGTTTTCTTGGCTGTATCTTTCTGTGGATGTCCCTGTTAAATTTCTAGCTGATTAACTGTTTTGTTTGCCTTTACTAGTATTGTGGGGATATTAGCCTTCCCTGATTATTAGTCACAGGGATTTTTTTTTTTTTTTTACAGTGCCATTGGTAGAGATTTTTCCATTCTCTGCTCTAAATATAAGCCCCCTCAGACTGTTTCCTGTCCTGAAAACCTGCTCCACTCTGGGATGAACAGCCTGTCCCACCCTGTGGTACAACTTCTACAACATGGAGCTGGGGTGGGGAGGAAATTGGAGCTTCTAGCCTTCATGATGTGCTCTACCCACCCACCCACCCTGAATATAACTTCAGCAACAAGGATCTTAGTGCAGGGGAATGGAAACAGCCCTTACCTTAAATGCCAAAGCCTCCCAATGTTTTTGCTGAGATTCAGTAGATTTTCTTGAATATATGCTTTTTAATTTTTTGTATGCTCTATGATCAGTTTCTAGAAACTTTAAATGATTGTTTTTGACAAACTTGTCCAGGTTTATTGATATTCTTTTGGGGAGAAGATCTGCTAATCTCCTTACACATCCATTCCAGAAAATAAATAAAATTTAATAACAAAATATTTAATGATAAATTTGAATTTTAAAATGTTGGAATATTTTCTTGGGGTTATTTCTATTCCCATCTTCAAGTATTTACTGGTTGAAATGATCAAAACATGTTTTCCTGTTTTAATTATTTCATATAGAAAACTTAGTCTTTTAACTGCCAATGAGAACTCTTGTTGCCACTTTACAAATGTGGGAAATGAGTCTGCAGCTTCGATTATAGGTTGGATCACAATCCACTGGTTTTAGTTCTTTAAATTTGGACTTGGACCATGTTATATGTCTAGATTCAAATGTGAAGATGGATACTGTGTGCATATATATATACGTAGCTCCAAAACATTATGATCTATGTAAAGGTACAGCATTGACACTGTACAGGCCTTAGGAAAACTGAATGACATTTAACTTTCTCAGGTATAATGTCATACTCCAGTATTAACTACATGATGTACAGTGGAAGAATGTTTTTTCTCCCATGTATAATGTGTTATGTCTTCCTTGTTAGCAATATTTATCTTTATGGTCAAGTCTGAGTAGCTCTGGTAAAAGCCATAAGGCTTCTCATCTGCATTGTCACTGCTGGAGCTTTGACACAGGTCCTATCAGATTCTGTCCTTGCTCATCTCCACTGAATTATTTTTGATTGGCCAGAACCTTTATATAAAGAGGGTGTAGGAAATCCTTTCTTCTTTTTTGCATCTCCTATATTTCCTGGCTTTGAACCAGAACATTCTAGGTTTTCTTCAGCGTTGGTGTTGGGTCTTACCAAATGTGCTTTACTCCTCAAAACTATACACAATGATATAAAGATACTTTTGGCCAATGTTTAATACCTGATTTAAAAAAAAAAACCCTTCATATACTATTCTAATTGGAATCTAGAGATTTGTTTCTAAACAAATGTTATACTTGGGGGATATTTGTTAACTGTTGGTACTTTGAGATCCTATTTAGTGACTTCTTCAATAAAAGAAAAGTATAGCAAAGAAATACATCAAGAAGAAAAGTAGTCATCAGGGAAAATGGAAGTCTTGGTAGTGAGTAGAAAATAAAAGATTGTGGAAATATAACACTACTGACCATTTGTATATACACACCCTTGTTATCCTTTAGCAGACCTTATCTTTTCATCACAACTACCCTCCACAGCTCTGAATCAAGCCACCACCATTTGACTTGATTTCCTGGGGGGAAAAAACTCAATAACTGTGGATTGGAGCCATTACAAATTCCTGGACTCTGACCTTAGTCTTCTGCTATCTTTGTTTTAATTCCACTTCCCCTCAAAGGCGTCTTTAATACTAGTCAAGCCCTCAGCCTGCTGCAACCCTCCTCTGCCTCTCACCAAGTTAAGAAGATCTTACTAGTTTTTACTCCATCCGGGATATCATGGCCATCAGGGAAGAACTTCCTCTTTTGATACCTACAAACCTTGTGCTTTGTTCTCTTGCCCTGGCCCCTCCTCCTTTTCAAGATGGCCCTGCTCTAATTGGATTTCAGCTCTTAGAGATCTTGTTCCCTCAAGACAGTTCTCTTCTTCTCTTTAATAAATAAATATACTGAAGACTTTTTGCCTGCCCCTCTCTCTACCTGTTTACCTTGTACGTACTTTTCCATCTTACCAACTCATTGACTGTCCCAATTGTAGCCATGTTTCCGTGAGATTGTAGATACTCCTCTCAGCCATTTCAAATGCTGGTCATCTTCTTTGTATTCTTTTTAGTTAGCTACCCTCTCCCAGTCCTTCAAAACTTGACTTGAGCATCGTTTCTTCCGGGTGGCCATCAGTCACCATGCTTCTCCATTGAAAGCCTTCTGTCTGTTTCTGCAACACTCTGTGAACTCCTCCCTCAAATAATGTACCCTGGAGTGTGGTCACACAGGCTGACCTGCTTGCATCTGTTCATCCTCGTCCCACCTCCTACTAGAAGCTAGCTCTTTGTTGGTAGGGACTGTATCTTAATAGTATTTGTATTCATAGTTCCTGATACATAGTAGGTGCTCAATAACTACTTAGTTTGAATTTATAAATTTATGTATAGACTGACAGGCTTTTGTTGTGAACACCTTTTAGAAAAATTCCAAAGTAATAAAAAAGTAAGAATAAACTGAATGGAGATTGTAACTAAAGCTATTCAGATACTCTCATTTTCTTCCACAGACACAAGCTCGGATAATTTTGGATACAACCTGTTGACATTCATCATCTTGTACAACAATCTTATTCCTATTAGCCTGTTGGTGACTCTTGAGGTTGTGAAATACACGCAAGCCCTTTTTATAAACTGGGTGAGTGTTAAAGCAGAGTTTACAAGTTGAACTGCTGGGGAAATGACAATCACTATTTTCTAATATTATCTCAGAGCCTTAGTCATTTAATTAAGCTCATAGAAAAAGAAGAATATGGTTCACTTATGATTAAGTCCATCCAGAGGCTAAACTGGCCACACAGAACTAGCGTTGGATATGTGTTAGAATTAGGGCAAGGGGTCATCAATAGGGGAGTCTCCAATGACTTAGGGATTTCTCTAACTAGTTTAAGTGACTTGAAAGTGGTTGGGTAGTAAATCACCAGAAGTTGTCTTTTAAAGTTTAAAACAACTTGCAACAACAATAAAAAACAACAACAACAACAAAAAAAATAGTAAAAGTTTTAAAAGAGCAAAAAAAAATTTTGAAACACTTCATGAGGATGCAGAAGTTATTAGTAAACTTCTGTGACACTGAGGAAGACTTCAGGCTGGGGGTGAATTCATAGTGGTGACTAGCTCCTTAACGTCTCAGCTTCCAACTCTATGAAATGGGGAGGAAAATAGTACCTACTTGTTGCACTTCACTTGTTGTGAAGATTAAGGAAGACAGTGGAGGTAGAATGCCTAGCTGTTATGTCTGGTTGGGTGGTGATGAAATGACTGAAGCAACTGTTGAAACTTTGAGTCTAGTGCTGAAGAAAAGATCTCTTGGTGTGTTTGCTTTAGTGTTCATTATATTTCAGAATTCATTGTGATGGTAAACTTGAATTCCATTTTAAGGGTGGAGTTGAGATTTTCAGATAGAATTTATTTTATTAACTCTTGATATATAATTATTCCTTAGTTTTAATCCCCAAATTTTCTAAGCCAAAGGAGAGAGACTGTCATGGCTCTTAAGCAGAGGATTTCAGCAACCACTACTTGCAGATCAGTGCTTTCTTTTTTTTTTTTTTTTAACAATAATTTGAAGTTTTTATTTTTTTTTAATGAGCAGTAATGAAATAGTTTACATCTGTGTGTTGTCATACTTATAAAAGTTTTAAGGGAGAAATATGCAGTATAGTTATTTTTCTTAAGTCTTAACACATTAAATATATTTCTGTATTATGTTTTAAAATAAATTTGTTGTTGTTGAGAATATACACAGCAGAACAGACACCAATTCAGCAGTTTCCACATGTACAATTCAGTGACATTGATGACATGCTTCAAGTTATGCAACCATTCTCATCTTCTTTCTGAGTCATTCTTCCCCTGTTAATATAAACTCACTGCCTTCTACATTTCCTGTCTAATCTTTTCAGTTACTGTTGTCAGTTTGAGTCCATATAGATAGCGCAGTTGCATTTTTTGTTTGATCTTCACAATACTGGGAAAGAAGTATTAACTGAGCTTAAAGGTTTCCGTTAGTCTAGGTTATGAAAAATCATGAAACTAGGTCTTCCGTACATTAATACCATGTTTTCTCCTGTATCACAATGTTTTTCTACAGCAGTAGTCCCTGTTTCTTCACCCCTCAAAATGTAAAGTTAGCATTTATATCAAAATGCAGTGGTTTTGAACAGTGGCATACTGGTTAAGAGCTGCGGCCGCTAACCAAAAGGTCAGCAGTTCAAATCCATCAGGTGCTCTTTGGAAACCCTATGGGGCAGTTCTACTCTGTCCTATAGGGTCACTATGAGTTGGAATCGACTCGACGACAATGGGTTTGGTTTCTACTTTGGTTCTTAGTTTCTTTTCTGTGTTAATATAAATGAAGGGTAATGGTATTTATTTTCTGAAGTGTCCTTTTTCTCTCTCTCTCTCAGGACACAGATATGTATTACATAGAAAATGACACACCTGCAATGGCCAGGACATCAAACCTTAACGAAGAGCTTGGGCAGGTGAGAGCCTCTTCTGGAACTTTAATAACAGTGGCATGAGCTTGAGAGGTGACCAGTGTTAGATGACCTTGGACAGCTTTTGTATAATTCTCCAGAAATGTGGTTATTTCATCTCAAGAGCTATTTGTAGTATTTGAGAGTATTATTAAATGAAAATTTTGGCTTTCTTTTTTAGGCACAGATGTTTTATCACCTAGAAAATAACTGGAAGAACAGGGTAAAAAAAAATATAATAAATCATAATTTTGGACTCAAAATTGAGTGATGAAGAAAACAGTGCTTAGGATAATCAGATATCGGGTACCCCTATGCTCCCCAAAATGTTTAATTTGCTGAAGAATAGGGATTGATGACTGATGCTGGAGCAATCATATCAGGCATGGAATTGTGTGTTAAATATATAGCAAGAAACATTATTGCAAAAGGTATTTTGAAAAAGCATCTTTAAACTATGGGTTTCAGATACAAGAAAACTTCCTTGTTCTCAATTTCACTCAGATTAAATGATACTTGAAAAGATTTTTTCTACAATGATTGCTTCAGCTTGTGTTGGTCAAGAGTAAATGTGATAGTTCTCTGATCTTGGGCCGATTTTATAGACAAAGGAAAAATAGCTGACACAAACAGTTAAGTGCTCGACTGCTCACTAGAATGTTGGTGGTTCAAACTCACTCAATGGCTCCATAGGAGAAAGACCTGGCAATCTTCTCCCATAAAGATTACAGCCTAGGAAACCTTATGGGGCAGTACTACTCTGTCACGTGGGGTTGCTGTGAACTGTAAATGACTCGATGGCATTCAATACACACACAAGTAATATAACCGTCTAGAATGTAGACACAAAATTTTAAGGGAAAAATACTACTGTTATATTGAACCTCTAACCCAGTTAATTCACATGGATCCGAAATCAATCCAGGTGAAGTACCCAGAAGGGGCAAAAGAAATTAATGATTTATGAACAATTCTGATTTGAATAAAACGATTTAAAAACTAAATGGAAAAAAAAAAACAAGCCAAAATCCACATAAATGTGAGGAGGTTTGAACATGAGTATGCAGAACCTGGACAGCATGCACTCACCAGAGGACATAATCTAAAATGAGCTACTGCTGAGCTTTTCAGAAATCAGGCTGAGAAACTTCTGGTGGCTAACTTGAAAAGCACATGGATACATGAATTCTCTTGCATGTTGTGGATTTTGTCTCTGGAATATTCAGGGAACTAGAGAACATGCATATTTGGGCCTCACGGTGCTCTTTAAGCCTTTACCCCCAAATCCCCATTGCCTCTACCGAGTTGGGCTTTGCCATTATACCTTCATCTTACGTGGAATGTACTGCAGGAAATTACATCTCTTGAATGTACTGCAATCAGAGATTATAATTCTGTTTTCTACATCTTTATCATTTAAACCTCCCAACAACCTTATGAAGGTGCTATATCCTTACTTTATAGGTGCTATATCCTTAGTTTCTAGGTGAGGACATGGGCAACTTACCCAGGATACCTGGCTAGTGAATGACAGACTGGGGACTCCAATTGGTCTGTTCAGATCTGTTGTTCTTGTGCCTTCCTGCCTCATGTGGGAATGTTGTGGAGCACGGTCTTCCCCTCCCTTTCCTCAGTGTCCGCTCTATGAACACGCAGGTGAGATAGTATATACCAGCCTCAGGGTTAGGAAATGCCTCTAAGGAGGTAGGCTTCCTTCTTTTCCCTCAGGAAAAAAGTAAATTCTGCAGTTTTCTTTAATACTCTTTTTGTGTTTATTGCCAGAAAGTTAAGGCTCAAATTTGTGGATCAATTTTTGTAATAAAATAGAAACTTTTAATTCTGTTCCTTTGATATTCTTTTCCAAATCTATGTAGAGTTAATAGCAAGTTTTTCTTTTTTCTTGAATTGTGTACATTCATATAAAAAAACCAAACCAAACCCATTGCCGTCGAGTTGATTCTGACTCTTAATGACCCTATGGGACAGAGCAGAAGCGCCCCATATGGTTTCTAAGGAGTGGCTGGTGAATTCAAACTGCTGAACTTTTGGTTAGCAGCCGAGCTTTTAACCACTACACCACCAGGGCTCCGTATATCCATATCAGCACTCTTAAATTCTTAGTTTAACATAGTCTATTGTACTTAAAGGAAACATTCTGGCTTGGTGTGCAAAGCCTCCCCGGTGAGGCCTATGTCTCAGGCCTCCCTACTCTCCACCCCACGCTAGAGCCATGTAGAACTATGTATTGTACCCAGATTTCTTTCTGTCTCTGTCTTGCTCTTTTTTTTTTTTTTTTAATTGTGCTTTAGGTGAAAGTTTACAGAGCAAATTAGTTTCTCATTAAAAAATTAATACACAAATTAGTGACATTGGCTGCCAACCCCATAATGTGTCAACACTCTCCTCTTCTTTACCCCTGGTTCCCTGTTTCCATTCATCCAGTTTTCTTGTCCCTTCCTGCCTTCCCATCTTTGCTTTTGGGCTAGTGTGCCCATTTAGTTTTGCATACACGATTGAACTACAAAACACGTTTCTAAAGTGTGTTATTGTTTGCCCTATAGACCTGTCTAATCTTTGGCTAAAGGGTGAACCTCAGGAGTAACTTCACTAATGAGTTAAAAGGGTGTCCAGGGGCCATACTCTTGGGGTTTTTCCAGTCTCTGTAGACCACACGTCTGGTCTTTTTATTGTGATTTTGAGTTTTGTTCTACATTTTTCTCCAGCTCTGGCCGGGACCCTCTATTGTGATACCTGTTAAAGCAGTCAGTGGTGGTAGCCAGGCAGTATCTAGTTGTTCTGGGTTCAGTCTGCTGGAGGCTGTGGTAGTTGTGGTCTATTAGTCCTTGGGACTAATCTTTCCCTTGTGTCTTTGGTTTCCTTCATTCTCCTTTGCACCAGCCAGGATGGGACCAATAGATGTATCTTAGATGGCTGCTTACAGGCTTTTAAGACCCCAGATGCTACTCACCACGGTCAGATGTAGAACATTTTCTTCATAAACTATGTATGCCAGTTGAGCTAAATGTCCCCCAAGACCATGGTCCCCAGCCCTCAGACCTGTAACTTGGTCCTTCAGGAAGTTTGGATGTGTCTGTGAAGCATCTGCGACTTTGCCTTGGCCAAGTTGTGCTGACTTCCTCAGTGCTGTGTACTGTCTTACCGTTCACCAAAGTTACCACTTATCTACTATCTAGTGTTTTTTCCTCCTCACCTTTCCCTCCCCTCGTGACCATCAAAGATTGCTTGTTTCTGTGGGTAAACCTTTTCATGAGTTTTTATCATAGCTATCTCATACAGTATTTGTCCTTTTGTGATTGACTTATTTCACTCAGCATAATGCCCTCCAGATTATCCATGTTGTGAGATGTTTTTCAGATTCATCATTGTTCTTTATCGTTGCGTAGTATTCCACTGTGTGTATGTACTGTAGTTTATCCATTCATCCCTTGATGGGCAGTTAGATTGTTTCCATCTTTTTGCTATTGTGAATAATGCTGCAGTGAACATGGGTGTGCATATGTCTATTCGTGTGACAGCTCTTATTTCTCAGGAATATATTCCTAGGAGTAGAATTGCTGGATCTTATGGTATTTCTATTTCTGGCTTTTTAAGGAAGCACCATATCAGTTTTCAAAATGCTTGTACCATTCTGCGTTCCCACCAACAGTGCATAAGAGTTCCAATCTCCCTGCAGCCTCTCCGACATTTGTTATTTATTTATTTTATTGTGCCAGTAATGTCTGGGTGAGATGGTATTTCATTGTAGTTTTGTTTTTTTTTTTAAAGCAAAAAGAAAGTTTTATTCAGCATATATTCAAAAGGGCAGAAGTGGGAAGCGGACAAGCATGCTGCTAGAGCCATGTCTGCCCGAGTCCAAAGAATATTACAGAATAGGCAAGAATCGGAAAATGGACAAGCATGCTGCCATAGCCATGCCTGCCCGAGTCCAAAGAAGGTTACAGAATAGGCAAGAATGGGAAAACGGACAAGCATGCTGCCACAGCCATGTCTGCCCGAGTCCAAAGAATATTACAGAATAGGCAAGAATGGGAAAACAGACAAGCATGCTGCCACAGCCATGTCTGCCCGAGTCCAAAGAATATTACAGAATAGGTAAGAATGGGAAAATGGACAAGCATGCTGCCACAGCCATGTCTGTCTGAGTCCAAAGAATAGTTACAGAGCCATCAGTATATATCAACTTCACAAAATGAGTAGAATCATTGAAAGTGTCACTTTTTCACTGATTGGCTAGAAATTGTAATCTTACATTTTGAATCATCTTTCTTAACATTTATTGGTATGGGTTTCAGTACGAAAGTCAGGAGGGTCTTCATTGGTCCAACAAATTCTTATTCACTAAATGTTAATAGAAGAAGACAAAAGGTGAGAAGTTCTTTGGGTTAGGTTTTATTGCCCTTTTGTGAAAACTTCCTTAAGATAATTTCTGAGATTGTCCCATCTGTTGTCTTATCTCAGGGCCGAGTTGATGTGTCTTTGTGAGTCTGTGAGGGCTCAGCCTCAGCTGGGTCACAATTCTCCATGCTCAAGGAGAGGGAATAATAACTCTAATATTATTTCCTAAATCAGTCCCTCCTTTTGATCGGAGATTGGAGATAACACATCAATGATCAATACCTGGAATTAGTCAAGCTCCTAGATGGCGGCCATTGCAGGCTCTTTAAACTCACGGTGCTGATTTTCCACCGGATACCATCTGGTTCTTCACCAGGGTATTAAGTAAGAGTGATGTTCCCATCAATGGCATTGCTGGAGTGAGCAGACTCAAGGTACATCAACGTTTTAGCCTGAGGCCTTCTTTTGCCTCTTTGGTGTGTAAGACAATAGAGGATAAATCTTATTGTGGCTAATACTATCAGGATGTAGACTAAGAATATTACTATCCCTGGCAGTAGTGATCTAGCCCATGTACTTAATCCTGATGGTAACCAACAAAATAGATCTCGTGTTTGTAAGGGTGTGACAATGTGTAATCAAGTAGCTTG